ACTGGTGTAATAAACCACTGGTTTGTCTGGTGTAATAAACCACTGGTTTGTCTGGTGTAATAAACCACTGGTTTGTCTGGTGTAATAAACCACTGTATAAACCACTGGTTTGTCTGGTGTTATAAAACACAGGTTTGTCTGGTGTAATAAATCACTGTATAAACCACTGGTTTGTCTGGTGTAATAAACCACTGTATAAACCACTGGTTTGTCTGGTGTTATAAAACACAGGTTTGTCTGGTGTAATAAATCACTGTATAAACCACTGGTTTGTCTGGTGTAATAAACCACTGTATAAACCACTGGTTTGTCTGGTGTTATAAAACACAGGTTTGTCTGGTGTAATAAATCACTGTATAAACCACTGGTTTGTCTGGTGTAATAAACCACTGTATAAACCACTGGTTTGTCTGGTGGTATAAAACACAGGTTTGTCTGGTGTAATAAACCACTGTATAAACCACTGGTTTGTCTGGTGTAATAAACCAGTGTATAAACCGCTGTATAAACCACTGGTTTGACTGGGTAATAAACCACTGGTTTGTCTGGTGTAATAAACCACTGGTTTGTCTGGTGTAATAAACCACGGGTTTGTCTGGTGTAATAAACCACGGGTTTGTCTGGTGTTATAAACCACTGTATAAACCACTGGTTTGTCTGGTGTAATAAACCACTGTATAAACCACTGGTTTGTCTGGTGTAATAAACCAATGTATAAACCACTGGTTTGTCTGGTGTAATAAACCACTGGTTTGTCTGGTGATATAAACCACTGTATAAACCACTGGTTTGTCTGGTGTAATAAACCACTGGTTTGTCTGGTGTAATAAACCACTGGTTTGTCTGGTGTAATAAACCACTGGTTTGTCTGGTGTAATAAACCACTGGTTTGTCTGGTGTTATAAACCACAGGTTTGTCTGGTGTAATAAACCACTGGTTTGTCTGGTGTAATAAACCACTGTATAAACCACTGGTTTGTCTGGTGTTATAAAACACAGGTTTGTCTGGTGTAATAAATCACTGTATAAACCACTGGTTTGTCTGGTGTAATAAACCACTGTATAAACCACTGGTTTGTCTGGTGTTATAAACCACAGGTTTGTCTGGTGTAATAAACCACTGGTTTGTCTGGTGTAATAAACCACTGGTTTGTCTGGTGTAATAAACCACTGTATAAACCACTGGTTTGTCTGGTGTTATAAAACACAGGTTTGTCTGGTGTAATAAATCACTGTATAAACCACTGGTTTGTCTGGTGTAATAAACCACTGTATAAACCACTGGTTTGTCTGGTGTTATAAAACACAGGTTTGTCTGGTGTAATAAATCACTGTATAAACCACTGGTTTGTCTGGTGTAATAAACCACTGTATAAACCACTGGTTTGTCTGGTGGTATAAAACACAGGTTTGTCTGGTGTAATAAACCACTGTATAAACCACTGGTTTGTCTGGTGTAATAAACCAGTGTATAAACCGCTGTATAAACCACTGGTTTGACTGGTGTAATAAACCACTGGTTTGTCTGGTGTAATAAACCACTGGTTTGTCTGGTGTAATAAACCACGGGTTTGTCTGGTGTAATAAACCACTGGTTTGTCTGGTGTAATAAACCAATGTATAAACCACTGGTTTGTCTGGTGTAATAAACCAATGTATAAACCACTGGTTTGTCTGGTGTAATAAACCAATGTATAAACCACTGGTTTGTCTGGTGTAATAAACCACTGGTTTGTCTGGTGATATAAACCACTGTATAAACCACTGGTTTGTCTGGTGTTATAAACCACTGGTTTGTCTGGTGTTATAAACCACTGGTTTGTCTGGTGTTATAAACCACTGGTTTGTCTGGTGTAATAAACCACTGGTTTGTCTGGTGTAATAAACCACGGGTTTGTCTGGTGTAATAAACCACGGGTTTGTCTGGTGGTATAAACCACTGGTTTGTCTGGTGTAATAAACCACGGGTTTGTCTGGTGATATAAACCACTGTATAAACCACGGGTTTGTCTGGTGTTATAAACCACGGGTTTGTCAGGTGGTATAAACCACGGGTTTGTCTGGTGATATAAACCACTGTATAAACCACGGGTTTGTCTGGTGATATAAACCACTGTATAAACCACTGGTTTGTCTGGTGTTATAAACCACTGTATAAACCACTGGTTTGTCTGGTGATATAAACCACTGTATAAACCACTGGTTTGTCTGGTGATATAAACCAATGTATATACCACTGGTTTGTCTGGTGTTATAAACCACTGTATAAACCACTGGTTTGTCTGGTGATATAAACCACTGTATAAACCACGGGTTTGTCTGGTGATATAAACCAATGTATATACCACTGGTTTGTCTGGTGTTATAAACCACTGTATAAACCACTGGTTTGTCTGGTGATATAAACCACTGTATAAACCACTGGTTTGTCTGGTGATATAAACCAATGTATATACCACTGGTTTGTCTGGTGTTATAAACCACTGTATAAACCACTGGTTTGTCTGGTGATATAAACCACTGTATAAACCACTGGTTTGTCTGGTGATATAAACCAATGTATATACCACTGGTTTGTCTGGTGTAATAAACCACTGTTGTATACTTATACTACATGGTTAAGGTGGAAGCATTTTGATAGATGATGGTAAAAATGACCTTCTGCATCTTTCTTTGTTACAGATCAGAAGCCTAGGTCTTTTACTTCTGACTGATGTTTTTATTTGAGGGAACAAGGGATGTTTGTTGTCTAAAAAGATAGAATTAATTTTTTTGTGCAAGCTGTTATGTACAATTCATCCAAGTAGGGGAATGAAGATGTTGAAATTTTAAATGCTTTCCGTATTAGACGATTTAATTTTTCTTTATCTTGTTGTCTTGTGTTCCTGGCCCATGCTGTTCTACAAAAATTGATCGTACTTTCCATGTATATGTATATGTGAACTGTCCTTGCGCTAAACATGTGTATGTGTATATGTGATGAACTTTCCTTCACACCCTCGTGTGTTGTGCCCCCAGAGGCGACGTCCCTCCCCCCCACCCCTGTGTACAACATGAGCGTGCTCCACGACCTGTGTGCGGCGCGTCACCTGGAGTGTATGCGGCAGTCGGTGGGCGTCTCCGAGGGTCTGCGGCAGGGGGTCATGTTGCTCACGGTGTGGCTGAGGCAGAGACAGGCGCATGAGGTGAGTGCTCGGCGGGCTACACACTTGTGACACACTTGATACACACTGGTTACACACTTGGTACACATTGGATAGGGTTACACACTTGGTACACATTCGAAAGGGTTACACACTTGGTACACACTAGTAAGGGTTACACACCAAATGCTTGACACATATATATATGTTGTTGTTGTTGATTTCAAATCCCTTTAGCTGCGAGCATTTCGCTCTTGGCAGCGCAATGCCTCCTTCAAGTAACCACATGTCCTTGTC